TATATATATATATATATATATATATATATATATATATATATATATATGTGTGTGTGTGTATATGTATATATATATATATATATATACTAAAAATATCACTATATATAATAAAAAAAAATTGAACTTGAAAGAACGCGGAATGCATTGGCGGAGTGTTAGATGAGATAAAGAGTATGTTCCGAAGTATATTGACTCACTATGGATATAGTAGACTATGCAATACTGGCACGATTGAATGACATAATTATCCTTTACGATAGTAAAAATTTCGACTGTCGAAATAAAAAGTTAGTTTTCAGCTGCTCTTAAGGGTGTCCTGAATAGCATTAAGCCGGAAAAAGCTTCCTGTCGGATCGACGCGGAACTCGCATCTTTATTGCTTTTATTACTTAAACATAACTACACAAAGGCAGTCGAATGGTTACCATGCCGGTCTGCCACGAAGAGGTCTCGGGTTCGATTCCCGGGGAGAAATATTTGTATGACCTACATTCATTTCATGGTGAGTTTGGATGTAATTTGTGGTTGTCTATTTGTGTGTCCATGGCATCCGCGATACAGTGTTTCCCTAGGCCATGAGTGTGTGTGTGTGTGTTATAAACTAAGCTTAAACACAAACAGGGTTAAACAGATTCCACGTCAGTAACACTATATAACACATTTTCAAAAGGTTTTGTTTCTGGTTTGACAGTATTGAGCAGCAAGTATGTAGAAAAGTGTAGCTATACCCCTGAAACTTTGCTTTTGTAGCTGTCACACCAGTACTTACATAGCTACATAGCGATTTTGCATAATCTCGTAATCGCGAATCTACAACAAGCAAATCTACACATTTCTAGATTCTTTGTCATAGTTTTGTTGAATTTTGGTTGAAATATACTATCGATTTGAATATGATCATAGCGTGGAGATCAAGTGTCGGATAGAACAAGCACGTAACGCATTTCTATAGTTGAGCCATCTACTTTGTAGTCGATCCTTGAAGATCTCTACCAGGGTGCGTTTGGCACGTTGCTACGTGTTTCGGTTCTTCTGTATGACGTAGAGTCCTGGACTTTAACTCAAAACATGAGCAACCGATTAGAAACCTATGAAATAAGGGTGTACAGAAGAATTTTAAAAATATCGTGGACGGATAGAGTGTCCTTGCCAGAGTATTGCAGATGGTGAATAAGAAATTAGAGGTCTTGAGTACTGACAAAAACGCAAACTACAGTACTTTGGTTACAGGAAAGATACAGGGAAAGCGATCACCTGGAAGAAGGCGTACTTCGTGGCTTAAGAATCCCTGGACATGGTTCCACCTGAGTCAAGATCTTTGTTCCGTGCAGCTGTGTCTAAAATACAGATAGCCCTAATGATAGTCGGCCTCGGGTAGGAGATGGCACCTCAAGAAAATCGATATGAAACATAATTTTCCCTTTTGTCTTTAAATAAAGAAGAAAACCACAAGTGAAACAGTTCGTCCAGGGAAGTACTGCCGCTTTACCTATTTCTGCCGCCAAGCAGTAACGTCAACACT